AGGAATTCAAAAATAGTTTGTGAGTCCTTGGTGAGATTTTTAAGTTGGCTTTTTACCTGTTGATTCGTCCCCGAGAAGGCTTGCCATAAATTGGCTAGTATAGTCCATGCTTCCCTTGAAGTATTAGCTCTACAATGAATGAATAAGTAAGAGAGAGAACCAACAATGCTTGAGGATTAGTTGATCCGCCAATCCAGAGTGTTGAGCAGGATTTGGTATTGTGTTTCATTCTAATAAGAGTTGCAAGCATGATTTCGATCCGTCAATAACTCGAGTAGATCATATCACATGAAGAGAGTCTGAAATTGAAGTTTCACAGAATACATTTCACCAATGAGTTTGAGACGGGCTTGAGCAGCAATGTAATACTGATTAAAGTATTGTGTGATTCGTTGCGGTTGTGGAAGTGTTTGGTGTTGTGGAACCAGAGGAGTGGTTGTTGCATGAGACGATTCAGAAAAGAAAGAAGAAGAAAAAAAATCAATTCTCTGATCGATAAGGAAGAAAATTTAGGATAAATTGTATATCTTTCTATTAATTGAATCACTAACAGACTTAACCCACTCCTAATAAAAGGACAGCTACAAGATAAAGATAAAAAAAACAAATTACAGATCAAAAAGATTTAAATACAAAGTTGAATCTGATCAGATTACTCCAGCAGAAGCGGTCTTCAATATGAGAGTCCTCCTTTACACGCTCCTTCCTGCCATCGAATTGTGATCAGAAACTCCATTTTTCTAAACGGCACTATCTTAGATTCTGTTACAGCTGACGAAGTGAGGCTTTCGATTCTGGATCTTTTCGTCGGGACTGGTGTAGAGGTGCATGGACTCGACGGGATTCTTGTTTCCGGTTCGATTCTGAGGATGATGAAGAGATTCGATGGCAATCATCACCTACGGCTGTGTCACAGCCGGTGAGTCGTCCTAACAAGGTGGTGGCTCCAACCGTACCCCCGATGAAGTTGAAACGTGTCCTGAGATCAAAGAATCGACGAATCCAGAGGATCTCACCGTAATGGCGGTAAAACTGGTCATGGATTTTTCGAAGTTAAAGAGTCGGATTGGTCTGTGATTTTCTCAATTAAAGCGCTGTTTGTTTCCCCAAAAAAAAAGAGGAACTTCGGGAACTTTTTCAGTTTTCTTGTATATTTCCTCAGGAACCAACGGAGAAATTGTAGAGAGATGAACGTTTTTAGGTGTATTGCATAAGAGAAATTCTCAGCTGTAAATGACTTCATCATGTTTCTATTGCAAGTTCAGTTACATTCCTAAGAAATTAAAAGAAAAAAAGAGTTCAAGTAGTTATTTATTTTATTTTATTTTGGTTTTCAGTATTTCTCGGGAACCAAACAGAGAAATTGTAGAGAACGTTCGTGTTTTAGATGTATCGCATAAAAGTCGCACTTAATAAACGAGCTTCATCATGTTTCTAACTTTCTTTGTTTCCCGAGAGTCAAGGAAGAAAATTAATAAGCAAAGTTCAGAAATCTTTAACTAAAGAAATAAATTTTTATTCCATATATAAGGATCAGTACAAATTCGTGAAGAAATTCTGAAAAAGACCCTTAATTTGAAACTGGCGAGGCTGCAGCGAAAGGCGAAGGAGCAGTTCCAGGGCCAGGAAGAAGGCTCAGCATCACAGTACCTTTAAGAATGTCACCTTCCTCAGCTGTGTAGCCAAGTAGTGAGCATGGCATTGGCAGCCAGCAATTACTCTTGATGACGCCGTGGCGCGACAGCATTCAGGACCGATACTCGCCTGCCCACTGAGGAAGAAGATTGCAATCTCATTTGTGCACGATTTCAGCTCCCAAAGCGCGTTGAAGCACTCGGCTAGACTTCCGCTGCTGCTGGCGGCAGCGGCTGCTTCAAGCCTCGCCGTGAGGTTGTAGCCTGGCTTGATGGAGGTCCCTTGATGCAGTGGCATATGCCATGAGGCATGAGAGGGCCAGAAGGGGAAGAAGCATATTTTTGAGAGGCATTTTGAGAATTGTTTGTGTTTTTAATGGAAGTGTTTGTGAAAATGCTGAGAGAAGATGGAGAAGAGATGAAACTTGGGGAAGTTTTATAGGATCGAGGAATTATAAGTTTTGGGAGGCCAAAGGGTGAAGAATTATGAAACAATTCAGCTTTAATCATGCTCTTTGAAACTGATTATCTTTATGCATTGAATTATTTCTTGTAGTGGGAAGTTATGTAGATAAAACCCTTTGGTTAACCTTAATTAATTATAATTGTAACTTCAATTCTCTCACAAATGATAAAATCTCATGTAATTTATGGAACTTAACTTTACAATATAAATGTTTTACACAACCCATTTCAGCACATTATTTCTGCATTTATGAGGTTATAATCAAACACTTGCAATCTGCAAATTACTGTTTAATCAAATTGTCCAACTCTATTTAAACAGTTCCTGAAAATTACCGAAACAAGTTGTTAGCATTCTTTGTTTTATCTGACTAGAATAAAACTAATGGTTCAAGCACCAATTTTCAAGCGTACAAATTCAGGGATATATCCGATTGATCTTGCTGTAATCATAAGGTATTATCTTCAAAACAAGCTAATGGAGAACCTCAACTAGCTGCTGCTTGTGTTAAGTATGAATTTGATGAGAATACACAATGTTACATCAATGTACCCCACTTTTAGTTAATGTTGAGGAGCCAACCAACAGCATCACTCTTATTTACTTAAATCCCTAATTAATAGTCCTAATACATTACAAGGGCTATAACAGGGGAAGGTGCAATTGCAATAGAGTTTAAACTTGCTGCAAGTCCCTTGAGCTTTGGCTCCATGTTTTGCCTGGCAAGCTCCACACACAGTTTCTGCTTCGCAGCCACTTTTAGGATTTAATATTTCCTTGCACGTTTTAGCATCCACCATCATACTCATACCTACAAGAATTATAAACTGCATGATTAGAAAACCTTTATCCGGTTTATGACACTAATTACAATTAAAATCAGTCGAGATTATTTTTAATTATCTACCTGCAGTGGTAAAGAGAAAGGAAAGAATGGCAGAGATTGAGAAGCTTTTCATTTTTGCTCTGTACAAAGATTAAGCTAATTCTAGTGTGCATATATAGGGGAGATTTAGATATGAGTAAAGTTAAGCTGTTACTGTTTTGTGGCCATGATAAATATATGTAACGATATAATATTAAGCCACTAACAAAAAACATAAAACCATATTTAAACAATACTCACCGATGTTAAGTTAGAAATCTACAATGATATAATAACATACAACTATTTTACTTTAGATTCTAACATTCTTCCGTTAATTTGATAAATGTAGGATTTGAACTTAAAATCTTTACTCTCAGACCGAGTAATTTACCACTACTTGAAAACTTAAGCTAGTAGTCAAAAGCTGACACTAATATTTGAGTCTAGGTCAATTAGACGTTACCAATACCTATCAATTTTACCGTGTGTTGTTATTGTTAAATGTGTTCATGTTATATCCATGGGTTGAATATGAAATATGATGAGAGCAACTTAAATAAAATAAATGATAAAAGCCTTTTATTTAAGCTCTAACAATTTTTGCTTGATAGAAGGAGATGAAGAAGTTGAAGAGACTAAACTGCAGCAAAGAACTATTTCAAACAACAACAAAAAATGATAAAAATAACACCTAGGAGATCTTTATTTGCATATAGAAATTATACTGTAGCTAGTTCGGAAATGCCTCTTATTTATTGTACAAAGAAACTATTCTACATACAAGTTTCTGGCACACATGACTTAGGACTATTCAGAAATTACACGGCCACACATATTTCTATACTCAATAATCTTTATTTGAATATTGGTGCAGTTTCTTTATCGAACCAAACAGGGTAATCGTGTGTTCTGTATTTTTCTGCTTTTATTGTTGCATGTGTTTTGCTGTGGTTTCAACAATCCAGGCACCTGCTGGGGCAAGAACCAATGGAGAAGCTGAAAGTGCTGTCCGCTGAGATCGATCTTACCCAACAAACTTTTCTCGGTAAAACTCCCCATCCATCAAGGCTTCAGGATGTCTTCCGATTACGCATACCTTTATAAAATACCGAACTTTTTGCTATGTGAAAGCTTTTTACCGTGAAATCTTTCGCGGATTCAAAGTTTCTTTCACAACCATGTTCAATTATTCCAGCTCTCCAATCCGATCTCTCAACCATCCTGTTCAGTCCCACAACAGTTTCCAACTCTTTTTGTAATTCTTTGTAATCTCAGGATTATTTAAAGTTCCAAAAGTGTCCATTCAATCTGTGAACTCTCTTGCACTCTCGACGCCTTTCTTACTGCTCTAGTCTTCTTCTCGGAGTTCTTGTCTTTCTTTCTCTTGCTTTTCCCTCTTTTACTTTACGTTCTTCTTCTTTATTAAAGTTGAGGTTCCTATAATAAACAAGATTATTTATAACTATTTCGTAAGGTTTAAGCTACCATAATAATCTGAACCAAATTCTCCTCGGATATATTCAAATTCGAAAGAGGGGATAACTCAGAGAGAAAGTTGGTCATGGAGAAAGAGTTGTTTTCTTTGTGTGAGCCACCAAGAAAGCAGCTCCTGCTACTGCCATGGACATTGTCTCCTCAAAGGACCAGAGATTTCGCGATGTATTGATTCTTGAAGCGGCTCAAGGATTCCGGTCACCGGCGAGTTCTTGCCTCAACTGCAGTGGATAAACAGCTCCGACATCTCTGACAACATAAAAGAGAAAATTCGATCAATGGCTAAATTCGCATTTTCAATATAAACAAATCTTTTTCATCACAAAGACTCTCTCTCAGTTTTACATTATAGAGCTATTCTATAACAATTGTTTACAGAGCCTAAGTGGACGGAAATAAAGTGGGATGTTCATCCGGATTAATCCAACGGTTGAAACTCCATCCAAGAATCACACGTGCATATATAACGACCACAGCGGATCAGATTTTTTTCACAGCTCAACGACCTCAAAGAACTCCCGCCAAATTCAACAACACAATGGAAGATTCTCTCACACCTGTTCTCCTCCTTATCACACTTTCTTCTCTCCTCCCTCCTATCACAACCGCACATCTCACCAACCAAGAACTCTCTCACGCAATCTCAGCCCTCCGATCCCACAGCTACACGCTTTTCCCCAAAGCCGTCACCGAATCCGATCTCTACCACCGCTCCTCTCCTCTCGGAATTCCCTTTTACCCTCTTCTCCGCCCGACTCACTCATCTCCGCTCTCGGTCTCTCCTCCCGCTCCCTCCTCTACCACGTGTCACCTCTCAAACTGCCCTCGTCACACACCTCCGAAAGTTGAGCTCCAGTGGAGGCTACTATGTCACACGCTCCTTCCTCGCCGTCGAATTCTGATCGGAAACACTCAGGTTTTTGTGAATGCCACCATCTTAGATTCTGTTACGGTTGACGGAGTGAGGCTTTCGGTTCCGGATCTTTCATCGGGACTGGTGTAGTGGTGCATGGACTCGACGGGATTCTTGTTTCCGGATTCGATTCTGAGGATGATGAAAGATTACGCTGGCATCATCACCTACGGATTGTGTCGCCGCCGCGAGTCGTCCTAGCTACGAGGTTGTGGCTCCAACCGTACCCCGGTGAAGCTGAAACGTGTCTCGAGTTCAAAGAATCGACGGAATCCACAGATCTCACCGTAATGGCCGTAAAAGTGGTCATGGAAAGTTTTCTAATTCAAGAGTCGGATTGGTCGTGATTTTCTCAATTAAAGCGCTGTTTTGTTGCCGAGAAAGTAGACGGAAAAAAAAGAGAAATTCGGAATCTTTTTCAGTTTTCTTGTATATTTCCTCAGGAACCAAACGGAGAAGTTGTAGAGGATGAACGTTTTTAGGTGTATTGCATAAGAAGAACTCTCAGCTGTAAATGAGCTTCATCATGTTTCTAATGCATAGTTCTGTTTGTTTCCTGAGATGTAAAAATAATAAGAAAGGTTCGGGATTTTTTTCCGGTTTTCTTGTGATTTTTTTCGGGACCAAACGGAGAAGTTGTAGAATTAATGTGTTCAGGTATATTGTACACCAGACTCAGTTGTGAAGGAGCTTCATCATGTTTCTAATTGCTTATTCAGTTACATTCCTGAGAATTTAAAAGAAAAAGATCAGAGTTTTTTTTTTCTTTTTGCAGTTTTCTTGTATTTCTCGGTAACCAACAGAGAAATTGAGAGAACGTGCGTGTTTTAGATGTATCGTAATAAAAAGTCTCACTTAATAAACGAGATTCATCATGTTTCTAATTGCATAATATGTTTGTTTCCTGAGAAAGTAAAAAAATGTTCAGAATAGTTTTGGTTTTTTGTTTTTTTTCTCGGGAACAAAACGAGAAGTTGTAACGAGCTCATCATTGTTCTAATTTCATAACTCTGTTTCACGAGAAAAGTCAAGGAGAAAAATTATAACAAAGTTCAGCAATCTTAGCTAAAGAATAAAATTCTTATTCCATATATAAGGATCAGTACAAATTCTAAAGAAATTCTAAACAAGACCCTTAATTTGAAACCGGCGAGGCTGCAGCGAATGGCGAAGGAGCAATTCCAGAGCCAGGGGAGGAAGGCTCGCATCACAGTAACCTTAAGAATGTCACCTTCCTCAGCATATAGCCAAGTGAAGTGGCATGGCATTGGCAGCCAGCAATTACGCGTGATGACGCCGATGGCGCGACAGCATTCAGAACCGATACTCGCCTGCCCACTGAGGAGAATTGCAATCTCATTTGTGCACGATTTCAGCTCCCAAGCGCATTGACGCACTCGCTAGACTTCCGCTGCTGCTGGCGGCAGCGGCTGCTTCAAGCCTCGCCGGAGGTTGTAGCCTGGCTTTATGGGGAGGTCCCTTGATGCAGTGGCTATGCCATGAGCATGAGAGGGCCAGAAGGGAAAGAAGCAAGTTTTGAGAGCATTTTGAGAAGTGTTTGTGGAAATGACCGAGAGAAGATGAAGAAGAGATGCAACTTGGGAAGGTTTTATATGTTGAGGGGAAGATGAGAGTTTGGGGAGGCCAAAGGGTGCATGAATTAAAGCAATTAAGCTGTTATCTGCTCATTTGAAACTGATTAGCCTTTAATGCAATTGAATTTACTTATTTCTTGTAGGGAAGTTATGAAGAAAAGCCCCTTAGTTAACCTTAATTAATTAATAACTGTAACTTCAATTCTCTCACAAATGATTCAAAATCTTCATGTAATTTATGGAACTCACTTTACAATATAACAAGGACTGCATGTTTTGCAGCACATTCTTTCAGATTTATGAGGTTTTAATCAGACACTTATAATCTGCAAATTAGTGTTATCATTATTTAATGTTTAATCAAATTTTCAGCCTCTTCACATGCATAATTGTCCAAACTCTATTTAAAAAGTTTACCTGAAGATTAACCAAAACAAGTTGCTAGCATTCTTTGTTTGATCTGATCTAGAATAAAACTAATGGTTCAAGCTGGAGTAGCTCTACAATGCGTACAAATTCAGGGATATATCCGATTGATCTTGCTATAATCATAAGTTAATTATCTTCAAAACTAGCTAATGGAGACCTCAACTAGCTGCTGCTGTTGCTTGTTAAGTATGGAATTTGATGAGAGTATAAATCTGATAGAGGCTTCAAGCTCAATTTAGGGTCCTGATTGCATCCTTCTAGTGCTTAATCAATTGATTAGTACTCTTAAGCAACATTATGCAAGTCATGAAATTACAATTCTAAAAATGTCCACAGGATTCTTAGTTAAAGATATGATATAAATGGTGGCTTTATTAGCACTTGAATCAAATCCACAATAGAGAAACATTACATGTGAGGATCTTGAACACACACCAAACCCTTACTAATTAGAAAGGACCAGGACACAACTCTAAAAACAAGTAACTAAATGAACAACAAAATAAAGCTAAAACAAGACACTTTTTGGAACTCCATGCCACCACCTCTCTAAACCGAAACCTGAGGCTGATCGATCACCGAAGAAGCATCAGCAACAGGAGGAGCTGCACGAGGAGCAGGAGGTATATCACAGTATGCTGTCAATATATTCCCTTCCTCAGCTGTGAAACCAACAGAAACAAGCATTGCCGGCCAGCAATTACGCGTGATGATATCCACGGCATTGCAGCAATCAGGGCCAAGACTAGCCTGGCCATTCAGGAAAAACAAAATAATCTCATTTGTGCAAGACTTCAGCTCGAGTAATGCGTTCCAGCACTCGGTTAGACCTCCACTGGCCTTGAGCCTTGCTGCAAGATTGTGGCCAGGCTTGATGTGGAGGCTATTGTAACTGTTTCTTGCTGCAGTTGAAGTTGCAACTGCCATTAGCAGGGCCAAAATGAGAAGCACATTCCTGAGAGCCATTTTGATTTTTGTCAAGTGTTTGATGTATGCCTGTGAGAGATGGGATCACATTAGGGCTATTTATAGGACAAAAGTGGAGTTTTGTGGGAAGATGATGAGTTTTTTTAACTGTTATGTAACTGTTAGAAAATGTATAGCTTAGAAATTATGCAACTAATTAATGGCTTCCATAATTTATGCAGTAAATTAGAAGTTAAATTGTAGTATCTATCCAAATCACAGTGTCGATAGAAGAAAAAATTGATGAAACTCTAAAAATTTAAAATAAATTGATGAAATTCAAAATAGATATTGATAATCATATCTAGTGTTAAGATTTATGGGGAAAAAAAAAATTGTATTGAGTGGTCAATAAAGATTCAACAAAAATGATTTTTCAAAAATATCATCAAGTGGTTTGATGATAAAAGAGTAAAAGAAAATATAAGTTTATATTGTCTCTCATACCTACTAATAAAAGTCTCTACTAAAGTTTGTAGTTAAATAGTTTTAAGATCCAAAGATTAATTGAGATTCGCACAAACTGACCGCCACAGCGACCCCATCCATACAAAAATAAAGAATATTTTTATTATAAAAAATTTAAAAGTTTGTATACTTTTATACCATTTCTCATAAATTAAAATTGAAAAGCTGACCAAAAGCTTAACTAGAAAGACTAAACTACCCTGACAAAGAGAAATAATGCCATTTTCATTTTCATCTTTTTCTTCCTCATCCAATTTTTGAACCAAATTGTACAAGAAGCGAGAACTCGTCTTACTGTTAAGAATCATCAATTCTTCAATCTCACCAATCATCATATTCAGTATTCGTAAGTATCACTGCCCTTATCACTAACCATTTCCGCTCAAAATTCTTTATTCTGTCTGCTTAATTTCTCACGCTATTCCTAGTTTAGCCTTCATTTTCATTAGGATTTTGCTTCTTCTGAATTATGAACACTATTACACACACTATTTTCCCTTGTGGGTTTACCAAAAAAATAAAATAAAATCATTCAGGTAATTAATTGTTAAAGTACGAAATTTATGCGCTTAAATTGTTCGATAAAATAACTGAGAGTTAAGAGTATCACAAAGCTTGCATATTAACACGCCCTAATCTTGCCCATTTGGGTGGGCTGACTAATATATATATATATATATATATATTTCAAATGTTAAAATCTCTTTTTAAGATTTTTTGTGTCATTTGATTTTGGCTTAAGAAGAGATTTTGGATTGTTGAATCAACTGCTTTAGGTTTATTTGAAGAAGCTATGACTGGAAATTTTGTTTTTGGTGCTTAAATTTTTGTAGAAGAATTGAAATGTACTCATGTCAATTGTTGTTCTAAATCTTTTTTACTTGAATGTTGACACTTGATAAAATTATGATAGGTCATTCCTGCCCTACGAAGAAAAGAGATGAGCATTTCGGATCTGCCGAGGAAGGAGGCTACTGTGCTCAAGGGGCATGAAGGTGCAGTTTTAGCTGCTCGGTTCAATGGAGATGGCAATTATTGTTTGAGCTGCGGCAAGGACCGTACCATCCGCCTATGGAATCCCCACCGTGGGATCCATATTAAGACTTACAAATCCCACGGTCGTGAAGTCCGTGACGTCCATGTCACACCGTAACTCTCTCTTTAGTATTTTCTTAAAGATTCAATCAGGATTTTGGAAGAACTAATTAATTATCTAATTATTAGTTTTTTTAATTTTTAGGGACAACTCTAGGTTAATTTCTTGTGGCGGTGACCGGCAACTGTTTTACTGGGATGTGTCAACTGGTCGTGTTATTCGAAAATTTCGTGGCCATGATAGCGAGGTTTGTTTTGCTTATTTATTAATGTTTTAGGGTGTGTTTAAGAGTGTTTTTTATGGAAAATACTTCCATAAGCAAGTGCCAGAAGCACTTTCAAATACAGAGATGGTATTGTTGTTGATTACTTTCTTTCTATTACAGGTGAATGCAGTTAAATTTAATGAGTATGCTTCTGTTGTAGTATCAGCAGGCTATGATCGTTCATTGCGTGCATGGGACTGCAGATCACATAGCACTGAGCCTATTCAGGTTGCAGAAATTTCTTAATGGATACAATTTTCAGTTTAGATGTTATATATACCAACTTATTCTTATAAAATTTTGTTTGATGTGCAGATTATTGACTCATTCTTGGACAGTGTAATGTCTGTTTGTTTAACAAAAACTGAAATTATTGGTGGAAGTGTTGATGGAACTGTTCGGACATTTGACATCCGTATCGGTAGGTAAGTTGAATTGTATAGAAGAATTTGTGAACCCAAATGTTAATTTGTATTCATGGCTTTGTCTTATGCACAGGAAAACCCTTTCTTAATTCCAGTTAGATGCTTTTTCTAATAATATTTTCTTGCTTTGAACAAATAGAGAATTATCTGACAACTTGGGGCAGCCTGTCAACTGTATCTCATTGTCAAATGATGGTAACTGTGTATTGGCCAGTTGCTTAGATTCTACTTTACGTCTCCTGGACAGGTTTGTTCATAGAGTTGCTTGAGGACTTACTGAATACTTATCTGGATTTCCCTGTCATTTTTAAGTACTTCTTTCTTATGGCAGGTCTAGTGGTGAACTATTACAAGAATATAAAGGCCATATTTGCAAGGTTAGCATGCGGATGCCTTTGTTTTGGCCTTTGACAGTTGCTCATATATGATTCTTTCATTTAATATTTAAGACATTTTAGTTGCAATTTTCAGATAATTGTTTAACATACTTCCAATATCTTCACTTCTTTTATACTGTTAATTGTCAAACTACCTCATAGCAATTAAGCCAATTGATATTAAATTTCATAGCAGCTTTTTTATTTGACTCCTCGCAACTCATGAGTTGCTATAATCTCTGTGGCGTCATTTTGCATCAGTCTTTCAAAACAGATTGCTGCCTTACCAACTCTGATGCCCATGTAACGGGTGGATCTGAAGATGGGTATATTTACTTCTGGGATCTGGTAGATGCGTCTGTCGTAACAAGATTCAGAGCTCATTCTTTAGTGGTGAATCTTTCTTCCCTTTTAATTCCTGTAATTTGGTATTTGTTTAGGTGTTGTGTTGATCATTCCAAACGAATGCTATATTTACTGCCTCATCATCTCCAGAAGAATTTTAGCCCTTTCTCCTTGTTTCAAATTTTAGATGAGCTTTTACCCGCCATGTTTTGAATAGGAATTATTTTTCCGCTATGTTTTGAAAGTTGTGATTCCCTAATACATTGAGTTGGATAATATAATGGAAAAACAGATTTAAAGTCATCATTTCAGAATTTTGTTGAATGATGTTTCAGTGACAATATTCTTTATATTTGATAATGCCAAATTGAAACAATGCAAAGAACAATGAACATTATACAATAATAGGTCTGCAGTGATACTATTAACATCTGGATTTTGCCGAGTTTTTCCGAAAATTTGAGAGAGAGAAGCAAACTCTTTTAATTCGGTGAATGCTGAATTAGACAGCCCTCTAAGAAAATTCCTTTACGTTACACTAAAGGATTTCCATACTATTTCTAGTTTTGGTTTTGGTTTGACCTTAATTGTCCATCGCAAGCAAATCCTGTGCCAATACATGTCACTGATAATGTTATTAACCTTCTGTTTTACACATTGCTGCTTAAATGCTGCACATTTTCAGCAGGGCTTGAGTTTTACAAAACTACTTTGTCTGTTGCTTTTTAGGTTCATGCAGAGTGTTCTAGTCGTTGATTGGTCGTTTTGACTGTTGAAATAATAATCAAACCCGTGCTATTGTCTGTTGCAGGTAACAAGTGTAAGTTATCATCCCAAAGATAACGCTATGATAACCTCCTCTGTGGATGGCTCCATCCGGGTTTGGAAGACAGAGTAACATAAAGCACTAATGGTTCTCAACTTACAACTCTGCTCTTTCTCATCAAATTATTTGAATACTCCAAGGATGAAGAGGAAGTCCAGAACCCTGCACCCTCATGCTGAGTTTCTGCTAGCTCTGTGAAGAATAATTCAAGGAAAGAAGTTAACCCCGCGTCTCAAATTTTAATGTACATTTTTTTTGGTTCATGAGATTTCCAAAGTCTGCCTGTGCATTTTTTTTTTTTTTCTCTAGATCCTTAAATTCATTAAAACTTAAGTCGGGTTATCGATGAATAACAATTAGTTTTCAGAATCTTATGTGAATTGGAGTGTAAAGAATATGAATGGAGCTTCTATTGAACTTAGTTTGATATCATTGTTAAACCTTACCTGTTGGAGTTACCAATTAAAAAGGCACTTCAAATCACACTTGAGTGTCAAAATTATATATCTGTACACTTGAGTGTTAATTATAAAGTAACTAAAAATCATAATCCAAGTGATATAACTAGGGGTGCAGTTGAACCGAGTAGCTCGTGAGTTACTCGGGATCGACTCGTAGAAAATCGAGTAATTCATGAGTTCGAGCTCAACTTCAAGCTCGTGAAAAATGTCGAGCTTTTTGGGCTCGATTCGAACTGCTCGCGAGCTTCTGAGTAGTTCGCGAGCTCACTGTCATCTTCACTACTTCACACCGCAACATCAACCATCGTCGATTGCAACTTCAACTTGTTTTTAGTATTTTGAACACTAAACCCAAAAACAAAGATAATCAACAAACCCAAAGACAAAGATAATCAACAAACAAAAACAAACCCAAAACCACAACTTCAACAAGCTTAGGCACGAGGTGGCCGCTGAGATGGAGGGCAAAGAGAGAGTCAAGGCCACTAACGCATGTGCCACATGAGAGGAGGTAAGAGGTAAAGCTGAGATCTCACGAGTTCGATGACGGTGGGGTGAACTCCAATGGTGGCGAGTAGTTTCTTCATGACGTGGCATATGCAATAGGAAGATCGACTAAAGATTATGACTGGGTGGAGATGAGGCGTTGGATTTTGGTCTCAACAGATTCTTCAACATCGACTGAGAAGTTAGTGGGAGGGGCGATGGAAGAAGAAGAAGAATGTGGGTTCAAAACGACGTCGTTTTCTCAAATTCTTATAAATAGCCGAGCCGAGCTCGAGCCGTTTATGATTTTAAAAGAGCCGAGCTCGAGCTCGTGTGCCAAAGCTCATCGAACTCGACCTCGAGCCTCCTCCTAATACATTCGAGCCGAGCTCGAGCCAGCCACTACTCAGCTCGGCTTGTATGCACCCCTAGATATAACATTCATATACGAGTGCCTAAATGATAAAAATTGACATGACAAATAATAGATTGATCCCATATTGTATAATAAATCATTTAGAAACCTCTCCTCTTGTGATTGGATGACAAACTCTTTAGCCGTTGAGGTTAGTTATATCCAAATATTTTGTATTCGAGTAACAGGGGAGACAATTATTAGGTTTACCCTAAACAAAATCACTTAGGGTCTGCTTGGGAGTTTTAAGGTAGCGGTTATGAGGGTAAACCATCGTAGCGGTTTTGAAGGTAAACCACCGTAGCGGTTTTGAGAGGTTTTTAGTAGCGGTTTTTAAAACACTCAACCTGTGCTTGGGAGTTTATTTTCTAACGGTTCTGGTAGTTTTTTAAATGATAAATTTACATAAATGCCCATAAAGTTAAAGCACTCTCTCTTTTGCTTAATTAACTTTAAAGTTATAAATTTGACTTGTATGTTTTTAGCTACTCAGTCTTGTGAAAAAGGTGTCATTACAAAGTTGTGCTTATGTTTCTTATTTAACACCTGGTTTTAGGTTTTACTTCCATTATCATTAATCTGTGTCATGGTTATCCAATTTAGTAAGAGTAGAAGACGCTATAATTATCAAATTGGAATGCTAGACATAGTGGTGGTTTGCTTGAGAGGCTTTGAAAATGGTGCGACTCTTTTCAATTGTATGCTCAAGTTTCTGGATTAATATATATATATATATATAATTGACTTCTCTCTTTTTGCGTCATTGAAAACGAGTTAATCTCTCCCTTAAAATCTTCATCAGATCTCATAAACCATGTTTAACCAGACTTCCAATCACAGACAAATTAGCATGCGCAAATACTTGTGAATGATAATGTATTTAATGGGAATGAGAGAATGTGAAACTTGTATTATAAAATATTATTTGAATTATTTATCTTTCACTTCCACCACTTCAATAGTTAATCTAAACAAAGACAAGACAGTTTTAATTAATGTTACTCAGTACATGTAAAGATCCTCTCAACAAGTTAATCTTTTAATTTTCTAGTTTATTAACAAGAAGAAGAGTGCACCACTAATGCTAACTGTACCATCTTCTCCCCACTTTTACAGTTATTAGAGGGCTACTGGTCTTGCAGTTGCAGAAGTGGCGGCCAAAATTCTTGGCTCGTTATCTCTTGTATTCACAGAGAACAGAAAGACAGGAAAGGTTGATGCCAAATCTAATTAAACTCCCTCCACATATCATATCAATACCTAGTTATATAATATCCAAACAATATTATTTGATAGAATTGAGAGAACAAGAGATACAATTGAAAAGAATCGTAGCATGTGTGAGAGATAATTTTAAGTTTCTTCAAGCCAAACAGTAAAAAAAACTAGCAGCAAAGGGAGTGGAAAGGGGTTTTTTTGGGATAAAAGTTTTAAACCAGTTAAAATACTCCGATTTAGAGTGTTTTATAAACCCCTCAAAAATACACTAAACTGGTTTTGAGGGGTTTTTAAACCAGTCAAAACCAGCCTATTAAAAATCTGGCAAGTGGGGGATTTTAAACACCTCAAAACCAGTCTAATTAAAAACCTCCCAAAACCAGTGAAAAAAAACTCCTAAGCAGACCCTTAGAATAAATACTAATTGAGATGTGTACTGTTACTAGTAAATTATATATTTGACTTAGGCTCAGTATTAATAAAAAATTTCGTTTAGTAGGTTATTATTTCAATCTCTGAAAGATGGTGGAACATAAAACGCATCCACAATTTTTTATCAGAATATTATATATATATACCCCATGTTGTCAATGGGGTAAATAACAATCAAGGGCTAGAATACCCTTATTTAGAAATTGTTTTTAAATTTTAATGTTGAGAACTTGAAGCAACAAAGTGGCTGTAGTTTAGTGGTAAGAATTCCACGTTGTGGCCGTGGGACCTGGGCTCGAATCCCAGCAGCCACATTTGTCTCCGACCTTAGCTCAGTTGGCAGAGCGGAGGACTGTAGTGGGCTCAATCTCCTAGCCATCCTTAGGTCGTGGTTCGAATCCGGCAGGTCGGATCTTTTTATCAATTTTTTTTTTTTTAAAAAAATTTGATACAAATTATCATAATTATACTATTTAATCACTATCAAATACAAAAATATCAATAAAATGCATTTTAGAAGGATTTTCTCATGAAGTCGACATTTTTTATTTTTTATTTTTTATCAAATTTTTTAAGACACTGGAGTATACTTTTTTTTTTTTTTTTTTTGCCGTGTTGAGTCATGCACTATCTTTAGGATTTTTATTTTGTCAAAGTATCTCCGATAAAGAGTCATTATTATAGATATTTGGCATTATTGTTAGTCAACAATTATCGATATGTATTACACGTTTCTTTTTTTATTATATTAAAAACTACGAAAATAACAATAACATTATTAATCAAGAATAAACTCTTCAATCTACATTCAGCCAATCCAATACGCATATTAATTCATTCTATCGTGATGTTTCCATCACTTTACATTCACTAAATCTTTTTCCTTACAAAGTAACCAACAAACATTTCAACATCAAAACTATTACTCATGTGATTGACACTCAAAATGAAATCTGACTATCAAACAGTCTAAATTAATTCCTTTTACACAGAAACCTTTTTACCCCAAAAATTTATGCATCCGACAATATATGGAATACTGTATATCATTGATTCTCACGTCATGCATCGATTACTAAATTGTTTTGTACTCAAAGTATTAATAAGATAACAGTGGACATATGTATATTTTAACAATTACCTGCATATCAAATCTAATTCTGTCAAGATCAATCGGATTTCACAATTGTCGCATATTGTAACAACAATCATTGATTCCAACATGAGCATCGGTCACTTCCGATGGCCGAAGTCTTTTTTTCTAATAAAGTAACGAGACGAATAGACTTTCACTATCGTCAAAAATACTCCCAGTGGACAACCAATATGAAAATTAGGCTAACATCACATCAAATCATATTATGTGGTTCATATTTCCCATTTCATTATCTCTTGCTGTTATTTTTGTACCATGAGTTGACCTCTCATCTTCCATTTTTTATATAACAATTTGGCAAAGTCAGTTTTGACAATAGATTGAAGGATGAATTTTAAGTTTGAAGTTGAGTAAGTGGGACCATGGGCCTTGCATTAGTTAAAAACTTTAGGCTTGGCCAGGCCCATTTAGTTACATTTTCAACTTCTATTGTCATGTTCTCTCTCCTTATACCATCAACACGTTGATTCGAATTTTAGTAGATATTTAGAATTTTTAAATTAGAGACAAAAATAAATTTTATGAACACACTTTTTGTTGAAATTGAAAGTTTTTTTTTAAAATGATTTTAATAAATCTTTAAAAATTAGTGTCACATATGAAAATAAAGTAATGGTCGTCTTTTCAATTATTTTCAATCACTTGGCTTATGGTCGGATGATAAGACTTTAGATTACTCGAAGGTTTTATGTTTGAGTCTTAACAAATTTATCATATTTGTGACTTACAACTTATTGAACTTATAAAATATTTAATAGATCCTGAAAATTTATTGAGATACGTACAAATTGGTTTGATTTAAAAAAAAAAAAATTATTCTCAAACAACAAACCAAATGGATACATTTGAGATTCAAACATATATTTAAAAAATGAAAAATTACAGTTTATTTTTTGTTTTGTTCATTTCGGCAAATAATTTGATGTTATAAAATTACAAGCATTAATCTAGAGAAACAAATTATAAACTATATATAGAAAATGAAAAACACAACTTTATATTTTTATAAATAATTTAAAATAATGTTCTGTCACTTCGTGATGTAACATTTGAGATTGAGACACGTAACATTGCTCGTACAATATAATTTAAAATCAATCAAACCATATAAATATATCTAGTGTTGTGAATCTTCCATTTCATGCCACCGACAATTGTGAATTTCTTAATATTATTTATTAATACCATAAATACTGAATAGTCAACCGAATTTGTAGAAAAAAAAACGTTATT